TGACGATGTTGGATTTAGCAACGATGAAATAGTATGGAAAGATTGCAAAACTGATAGCTCACAAAATCTGAACATCTGTTACGATGCCAACAAGAGCGTCTTGTACACACTCGTCAGTATAGATAGGGAAATATATCCCTATAAAGATCAAAGTATGCCGGGCCACTCAATTACACTGCTATCGCCGCTGATGCTAAAGAATATGCTATGCTGTGATTTAAGTTTCAACATTAATGGATGTAATGTGGGACGAATTAATGCCTTTGAGAGCAAGAACATATATAATAGAAATATATGCGAATCCTTTAACTTGAGCATCACACTAGATAACTTTCACGTCTCAGGCCAGTTAAAGGTTCCATCGAATCACAGTGGTACTGTCGAGCCGAAATTGAAACTAATTGACGCCAAAAACAGAGAATTGCATCTGCACATATCTATTCAATCCCTAAAAGGAAGAGGAATGGAAATATATATAAGTGCACCCATTTGGATTGTAAATAAAACGGGTCTTCCATTGATTTATAAACAAGAAGGAACTAATAAGATTGCAGCAGGACAATTTGATGAGCATGAAACAGCGCGACAAGTTTCTCCTCTAATGTTTTCATTTTCCGATCAAGAAGGATCACCAAACTTGGAAGTGCGCCTGGGCAGCACGTTCGGTGCCAACAATCAGGTGAGTTTTCATAGCAACCAACTCCATTTTGCTACATAAATACTTTTATATTTTCAGTGGTGCAAAAGTTTCAGCATGATCAAGAATATAACGTACAGGGAATTACGCACGGAAAGTGGACCCGGGTGCTACACAATTGGAATTAGAGTACGTCGCGGAAGGGGACTATATTCGTGCACAACATTTGTTACATTGTCACCACGTTTCCATCTGTACAATAAAAGCGGTCACCAGCTTGAATTTACACAACAATGTAATATTATCCATAATGTAAGTACTAAAAAAATTATAGCTATGTATAGTTAAATAATGATTCTTGATTTGAGTCTTCAGTCCATTTAATTTAACGATATTATGCTAATATACTCTGAAAAGACATTTTAATGTCGCCTGCACCCTTAATCTACATATACATATATAAAGACAGATCTTTGACCAAGCTCTAGTTTAACCAAATCGGAGAAAATTTTATTTTAATGCAAATCTCATAGATTATAAAATTTGATTTAGTTCAAAATTCAAAAGGTTTTTCTATCTATTTTTAGGATGTTACCAATTTGCGTAATGTTATTTCGGCGCCTATTGACTGCAATTTCCCATTTCATTGGACCAACGGGGACCGAGAGCCGCTTGTTTGTGTACGAATCGCAGATGTTGAATGTTGTTGTTGGTCGAAAGGCATACCCATTAACGAGGTGCAGAGTTTGTACATCAACGTTAGGAATGAATGGTGCGAAATGTTTTTCCTAAGACTGGAAATAATATACAGAGGGGCGACGTTTATTCTCTTGTTTACGGATGCTCGAAGCTTACCACCTCCAATTAGGATAGATAACTTTTCGGAGGTGGTGATCAGTTTTTCACAAAAAGGCTCAAAACCAATTTGGCCAACACCAGTTCGGCCGCAGTCATCATTGTCATATGTTATGGATGATCCTTTGGGCACAGAAACATTGCTTATGGAAGCGCCTGGGGGAAACACACTTGAGTATCCAATTAACGTATCAAATGGTAAAACCTTAACATACTCCAACTTCATATATATTGCGTTTCACGACACCTTTGATCAATTCAAAAGAGATGGTGATAAGCCAGACGAAAAATATAAGCAACTAGTCCTAGGTGTATGCGACAAAAGAGTCATCATTATGGAAAAAAATTCTGGAGACCGCTCGCAATTGTGGCTAATGAATTCTAATGGTCAATTGGAACATGAAGGATCGACACCACCTGTACAAACGAATGAGGCTAGCGCTGTGCGGTTGGTTCTAGATTTAGAAAAGCCACCGAATCCGACGGAACTTACTGCGCTCGTAGTACGAACGCCCAATAAACAGAGAGCCACAACTCAAACCTGGAGATTTGAAAATGGTCGACTTATGTGTCACGCGAATATGTGTGTTCAGGTAAGAAATAATATCCGAAAAGCTTTTATAATTTATTTATCAGTTCGTGGAGTATAATCGAAGTCTTTTATCGTCTCAGTCCCCTTCTAGAAAACATGGCCTTAGGTCTGGTTCGGAGGCGGTAGTGGGTCGTGTTAAACATCATTCAAAATGTAAGGATATAACACCGCGCGAACAACACCTCGTGGCCCAAAAATTGAGGCCTGGTTCTGGCCAATTAGAAATATCCACCAAATTGGATGGACCGATCAAAACTGTTCAAATTTGTGATATAAAGCTAAAGCCAAATGAGACTTTTCTGGCTCCTGACTTACATTGGACCCATGCATCCTTCAATAACAGGCAGATTGTTGATAAAGCGAAAACTCAAGTCACACATGAATATCACGTAAGTTTTTATTAAAACTACACTTAATGAACATTAATTAAAATAAAGTATATTTCAGATAAATGTCGATCTTCCCAAAGGAATTGGTATTTCTATTATTACATTGAAACCTTGTGAGGAGATCATATTTATTAGTTTGGACAACATCGTTGCTGAATTCATTGATAGTTCGATGGAAAAGTCAATAGATCTAATTATAGCAAGCATTCAAATTGACAACCAATTATTAGACTCCGCTAGCCAAGTGACCCTGCATGTTACTGTATCAACAAAGGAGGACTCAGTGAAAAATGCCGTGCGATTTACGCTTAAAATGTTACCCAGTCCCAATAAGAACGCTTTAATTTTTCAATACGTGAATCTGGATGTAAAACCCTGCACTATGTATTTAGAGGAAAAGCTGATACTGAAAATAGCCTCATTTCTTGGATATGGCAAAGAAAACCTGCACAACTCGTTTCGTCCTTGCGATTATGAAGATCATCAAGACAGATCATTCGAGAATAATATGAAAAGATACTACTTTGAAAACTTAAGTATCGGTCCGACACAGGTAAACATTAATTCCTAAGAATGTATTAGATCAATTCCTCTCTATAAGATTTTAAAAGATTTATTATCATTTTTCTAATTAATATACAATTTTTCACAGGTTCGATTGTCTGCGCTTACTTCGTCCAAGTTACCCGATGAATTGAAATACACGAAAAAGTCATTGGGCCTCACGTTAATAAAATTTGAAGATGCTTTGATAGAGCTTGATAATTTTTCCCACAGGTATCACTTTGAGACATTGGATGTTTACCTGAGAGCGATAAAGATGCACTATATTAACCAAATTAAATGGCATGCAGCTTCAATATTGGGAAGTGTTGATTTCTTGGGAAATCCTCTAGGATTCGCAAACGATCTGTCAGAAGGTGTATCAGGACTAATCTTTGAAGGTTCAGTCAAAAGTCTAGTGAAAAATGTTACGCATGGAATTTCCAATTCAACAGCAAAGTTAACCGAAACATTATCGGATAGTCTGGGAAAAGTAGTTTTGGATGACCACGATAACGAAACGAGACAACGAATTTTGGAGCTACAATCAAATACATCCGGTGGTCATCTTGCAGCGGGCATAAAAGGCTTTGGATTTGGATTGCTTGGCGGAGTTACAAGTATTGTTCGACACACATACGATGGTGCTTCCGCCGATGGTGTTCCAGGATTTCTCAGTGGCTTAGGCAAAGGATTGGTGGGCACTGTTACGAAGCCAATTATTGGAATGCTGGACTTGGCATCAGAGACGGCAAGTGCTGTTCGTGAAACTAGCAGAGACTCACATCGACATGCTCCAAGCCGGAAACGTTTACCCAGATGCGTAACTGGTGCACCTGGTGGGCTTTTACCAGCATATTCTAGTCGCCAAAGTAAAGGTCAACAGTACCTTTACTTAATAAATCGTAAAAATTTTATGGAAAAAATCATATTTTACGAGCCAAACCTTTGGAGTGATAAAGAAGCAAGATTACGCCTTTTAGTTTCTACGGAATTTGTTCGTATATTCTCCATTTGTGAAGAAAACCCAACTATTATGTTTGAGTGTCACCTTAGTGAAATTCTATCATGTCATCCATTGACAACTAATGCGGGGCCTAGCCCATCTACAATTAAAGTTACATCGAGTTACTACATAGAAATATCAACAATCTTACCAAAAATTACACGACCGCGAATTCGGTGTCGAACAGAGGAGTGTGCTGAGGCTGCATCTCGATGTGTAAGTAAAATCCTAACCTGTTAAAATCTCCATTAACTATATATAAGAAACCATTTAGAAATCGGATTGCAACCTGGGTCTGGTCCTTGTGACTGTTTTTATATATTACACTCAAGAAGCGTTGCTTGAAAATGAATAGAATATTTATTTGAGTCTGTTGCTTTCTTTTCAGATTAATTATGCTAAAAGTGTCTTCGATGAACGCGAGTTGTCCCTTATTAAATATAATTGATATTCAAAATAAATAAATACTATATATATATATGTATATATATATATATTTGTATATATATATATATATAGATATGTATACATATATATAACGATATTTGTATATATGTATAAACTGTTTTTTGATTCTGATAATAAATGACTGAATAATACGACTTTAGTGAAATTTGACAAATAACTTGGCAAAGCAGCAAAAATTCAAAAGCACTTTCTTGAATTTTAGTTCTTTTACATATTTCCAATGATTTAAATATATACCCATTTTTTGGTTGGTTAAATATTTTATTAAAATACGGTATTATCCTTTATATATTGTATAATAAATAAGCTTTAATTTTCTACACATCGAGCCCCAACGCAAAAAATTATGTCTTGAAATAACATTAAAAGTATTCAAAGTAGTAGGTACTTTAAAAATAAAATATAATTATTATACGTATATAATGTTAATAAAAATGTTTTTACCACATTACTTTTGCACCGAAGACTCGATACGTTAAAGAAATTAAAAAAAAGAGGAGACACAGCAAATGCATTTAATCGTTACTTATTTTTGGTTGTTTATTAAAAAGCCGTTCCTATATTTTGTAGAGATAACAAATTATAAAACATGGTTTACTTTTTACTTAATTATGCTTGAGTCAACTTAAGTCAGATCTCTCAATACTCGGTTAAAATATATTGTAAAGATATTTTTAAGCTAAAAATTTAGAACAAACAATTGCAATTTTCAAGAAAATGATTTTTGATGACTTAACTCCGTAATTGAGAAAATTGACCAAAATTAATATTAAGGAATGAATAAATAATGTTAATGTTCGAGTTAGCTTATATATAAGGAGCACACTGATTCCACAAAGACGAGACGACAAAGAATGTGCTTAAGGCTTAACCGATTTCTGAAAAATGAAAATAAAATAGGTTAGTTTGAGCATTTGACTTCATATTAAAGTTGTTGCTGTCGTATTTAACTGTGTTATTCTTAAACTTTTTTCTTTTATATTGATTGATTGATGAGTTAATAAATTACCTCATCGGAAAATTCCATATCATTCATCTGTTTCGATCGCCGCTTTTCGGTCGATGTGAGAAGTTGTGCGACTTTAGTTTGTTTAGCCAAATCGTAAGCTTCCTTTTTACTGCGCATCGCACAATCCTCAAGAGTTTCGGCTGCCTCGAACATGCCCTGTCGCCTATAGAGTGCGCCAAGGTTTTTCAACGTTGTGGTTACGGTAGGCGAATCAACCTTCGCAGCCTTATGCCATCCACCGTACTCTCCATATGGTGTATTTTCACGCTTATCGTGCTTGTGCTCCTCGCGTTCCTCGGCCACCTAAAAGCAAAACGAAAAAAAATTGGCTCATAAATATATTAATTAAGTGCGTTTATTATTAGATTGTTCTCAACATAATCGTAAAGCCTGTTACAAATTCAACAAAAAGAATTTTCCTCTTAAATGATAAAACAGCTTATTGCCGTTAAGTTGTCTGTATTGTGGGAACCTATTGGATTAATTACAGCACAGACTTACTATTTAATCAAAAACAAACAAAATCATTATCAAAAAACTTGATATTACCTGCCAAATGGGTTTATTTTTGCTATCAATCGCACCAAATTCTCGTTCATGGGCTCTTGTCAACACCTGTTTATAGAGGATTTCAGCTTCTGCGTAGCGTCCTTGCTTGAGATAGCATCCGGCCAAGTTATTTTTCGTTTTTGCTACATTGGGATCATCAGGACCAAGCTTTGATTCATATATATCAAGTGCTCTCTGATAATATTTCTCAACTTCATCGTATTTGCTTTGGTTTTGACAAAGCAAAGCCAAGTTATTCAATTGTTTTGCAACATCTGGATGGTCCTTGCCAAGAACCTTTTCACGTATTTCAAGAGCACGCTTACAAAGTGGTTCGGCATCCTTGTATTTACCACGCTTCCCGTATAGGACGGCTAAATTGTTTAAGGTCGCAGCTACGGCTGGATGATTTTCACCCAGTGTCTTGCCTCGAATGGACAGAGCATCGTTCAATAAATTTGCCGCCTCCTTGTATTTGTTCTATTTAAAATAGAGAAGCAAACATTAGCATATTGTGTGGCAATTAGTTAGTTGTCATATTCCTACTAACTTGATCACGATAAACAAGTGCCAAAATGTTTAACATTGTCGCAACGTCTGGATGATCGTGACCACTTGTTTTTTCAAGATCTTCGAGTGCTTGCTTGCAAAGAGGCACTGCAACTTCATATCTGGAAAATTTATTTCATTAGTTTGAAAGAAAGAAATTGCTACTGCGACAAAAAACTCAATCAAATGTCATTAAATTGAGCATAAATTAAAGCTTATGATATTATTAAGCTCAACATATTGTAAAAGAAAAAAAAACAAGGTTAAGGTTAACAAAATTTGCATTAATTCGTTAAATCACATGGCCGTGATTGACGCCCTCACAAGTGTTTTTTTTTTAATGGTAAAATCGAGCTATTCTTCGGCTTGTATATTCTTTAAAATACTAATGGACTGAAAATACATACCTGCCCTGTGATGCATATTGTATAACAAGATTGTGAAGTGTTCGCAATCTAGCTGGAATCTCATAGCCGGACGTTTGATTAGCGAATTGGCTTGGAGGTGTTGGAGACATATTGTGCCTGTCTTCATTTTCCTCATCGGGAAATAGCTCGACGACTGGATCGTTGCGGGCCTTCTCGCAGGATTCATCTTGCTCTTGGTTGTCATCGTATTTCCTTACTGATGCCATAAATTCCAGATGTTTTTTTTCCTCTTCCAGTTGTGCTACCAATTGCTCGGATGCTTGAAACTTCTGCTGTGTATTGGCAAGTTCATCTCGCAGCCAAGCGTTTTCTTGGTGCAGACGGCGTACTTGTGTCTTTAGTTTTTGCTTTTCAGCTTCAATGTTTTGCAAGTGCGATGTTAGGGCCATCATGACTTGTGCTTCACTCAAGCCAAGTTCAATGTTCTCAATATTCTTTCGTAATATATCAGATTTTTCATTATCTTTTTGCACCTCTGATATACCGTTCATTATGGAAACATGTTCGACCCGCAAGGCTTCCAAGCCTTGCAAAACCGTTTTTGTATTGCTTATAATTTCGTCTTGCGACATCTGCGTCATTTTGCCGATTTGCTCAATTTTCTGTCTGCAGAGGAAAAAATGTGTACTTACTAACAAGATTCAAACAAATATACATATATATATATAAATGCTACAATTTGACAAAATAATGATTATTTTCGAAATATATAAACTGAGAATTTAAATGTTTACATTCTATAGTTTTTGATAGCTTTTGAAACAATCATTTTCACAAAACGCTTGTGGCTTAAAAAATACTTTCACAGAAATCAATACAGTAAAACTTGCGCATGCGCAGGACCTGCAGATGCGGAATCTGTTGGAACACCCCTAATAATGCACATATAGTAATTGTATTCATATACAACATAACTTCCCATCTTTGATGCAAACAATGTTATAACACCTTTTTAACAAGTAGACTTTAAATATTTTCATAATGCGATCGAAACATTGATACCAAGTTGTAAAGGATAATCTTGTAGTATAACATCAACAGATGTATTTTTATTTTTCTATCATAATTGATAATAAAATGTGGCATTTTAATGATAAGATAATGTAGAAAATAAAAATACTTCTGCCATTCGAACAGAATGTAAACATTCATTGATTTCGAAGAAAATACCGGTATTTGTTTCGGTCGAGTGATTACATATTAATAAATTGAAATTGTTATCGATATACTCAAAAACACCGGGACTGTCAACAGGACATACATCTGATATTTTTGTGTATTTTTTCTTAATACAATGTAATATGTTGTTGTTGTTTTTGTTTTTTTGTACATATGTACATGTATGGCTGAAAGCCTCTTAGGCCAACATCCGCGGTGTTCTACTGACGCTACATTTTGGTAGATACTGTTACTTACCTAGAACAATTCGAAATTATTTACGAAGCCTAAGATATGATTGGAATTTAAAGATGATGTTAGACTACTGTTGAAACTCTAATATATTTTTATTTGGTAAGCAAACAGAAATCCAAACTAACCGATCAGCTGCTTTGATCCTATCCATGCCGTCATTTGATTACTTAATTTTGCTTAACTTTTTTAATTACAAACAAAGACCAATCGCAAATAGAATCAGTAAAGAGAATGTAAAGCATAGTGAAATCGCGCTACTAACCTACGAATGGTGCACAAGAGGCTATGTGCATATAAAAGTTGATGACTAACGCTTATTGCCTCAGAGTTAGACCATTTAATGCTATTGTAAATTGATGGATCGTTTGCTTGGGTTGATCGAGAATACATATATATATATATAAATATTTTAGCTAAGGAACTCATGCTAAACTAATTTCTATCTGTTTTTTATATTTTAAGGAATGGGCGTGTAATAACAAAATTAGAAATTAAAACACAAACACATGCACATGTCGGTACATACATACATACATATGTTGTCTGTTTGTATGTACGTGAGTAAGTACCTATTGACTACAAGTGTTTGTGGCAATAAGCTCTGGAATTGGTATGTCATGTTTTTTCTTTAGTACAGAAATACATATGTAAGTAAATATCTTAAGTATGTGGTACGTAATGTACATACACATATATAAATTATTAATAATATTGTTTCATATACGCTTCGCAGCACATATGTATGTAATACATATATACGTATGTATTATGAGTTAACAACGGAACAGTCACCAGCACTTTATTTCAGCATTCGGTAAACTATGAATATGCGATTATACATATGTTCACAATAACATATGCTTGTACATGGAAGTAATGTTTTTGACAAAATAATTAAATTCATGTAAAGCGCATAATTATGTATAGATGCCTCATACACATATCCATAGACTCATGTGTATTTACAAAGTGCATAGTATTACCGCCACAGCATATTTCTGTGTTTTTGTAGAAATGTGCAAATATGTTTAATAATTACACGAAATTCAACTTTTTCACCCACCAAATTTTAATTATAAAAATTAAAAAACTTACATGCAGAAACAGAACTTATAAAGATTAAAAAGATACAGATAATTTGGTATAAATTAAGTTATCGAATAGATATGTTAAAACACTGAAAAGCTTTTACAAAATATGGTCCTACTTTTTATTGTGTCTTAAGATTAGTACGTAGACCAAGGCAGAGCAAAATTGATTTATTAGGCAAGTAGCATATATATTGAATAAATATATATAAATGCATTAAAAATGTCAAGCCGTGGGCATAAATAAAATTGTTTTGTTATTATCAACAAAAAATATTATACCAATATTAAATTAATTAAGGTTTTTAAAAATAAAAAGTAAAACAATAAAAAATATGTTTTGTGCCGAGCTTCTTCCAAATACCATTAAATTTTAATTTATAAACAACTTCTGTTATTTTTTTGAACGATGTAAAATTAAAAGAAACTTCTAATTATTCATAAATATTTCTTTTGTTTTGAAGTGGCAGGCGGTAGGATAAAAATTTAAGGTTTAATCAAATTTAATGACTTAAACTCTTATTCTCGAGATATAATTCCGTCAAAGCTATAATTCGCTTGTATCAATAGGAATAGATGGTTATGTTTATTCTTTGCATACGTGATACCTTCCAAATATGTTTCGACGTGCATTAATTCCCAATCTTTCGAAAGTAATGAGAAGAAAAAACAAAAGGCAATAATATATTTTGTTTTAACATTTATTAAAATTAATCACTATCATTATCATTTAAAATTGCTGACATAACCTCCGCTAATTCTTCCGCTTTATTTAAAATTTCATCTCTAGTTAAACGTGTGTCGCTGCGTAGGTTTTGTGCTGTAATTAATAATTTTTCAAAATCATTTAGTTCATTTTCCAGATCCTCAGCATTGTTGGGCTGTTTGCAATTCGAAGCTACAAATAAAATTGAGAAAATGAATATCAAATTTCTTTATATAGTTTCTTGAGATATACAAAAAAATTAAAGAGAAAAAGACTATTTATTCATTAAGGAATAAGATATGAACAGTGCGCTACTTACTTGAGGCTTTTGTTTTTATGTTTGACCATACAAAATTTTTTAAACCTTCTACAATCTCTGAATATTTGTCTGTTTCGCACAACGCATCTTCTGAATGTTCCTCTTCCTCTTCTTTAAGTGTTATTATATCAAATACTATATTTGCCTTTTCTTTAAGGTCTTCGAATGTTAGTTCATTAGGTTTGCCAGAAAATGCTGTTGTAATTAAAAATCCTAGCTGGATTTTATTAGTTATTATAAAGTCATTAAGACCCGAGAGGTTGTTAATAAATGATTTCTGAAAGCAAAAATTACAAATAAAATCAATATATTTATCCTCTTAATCGTACTTACATCGTTTGGCTCAAAATATACGATTAGAGATTCAGTTGTGCTCCTTAATTCTGTTGGAACTCCTTCGTACGTTCCATCGAAAGCTATTAAATATACGCTGGTATTGTAATATTTGGTTCTAATATCACATTTAAAATGGTTTATAACCAAGGACCCGTATGTAACAGGTGTTATTACTTTTGGCTGATTTATTTCAGTTAATATGTCTGAAAATAGCAATTGAAGAGTTGCAACTTAACTGTAGTTTATATAATATATTTAAAGAATTAAAACTATCAAAGCGCAATAATAAAAAAAAAATATATTTTGTGTATTGACAGACAGTCGCATAAGTTGCTATTCGTCTTGCAAAATTGTTGGCTAAGGAACAATATGTTAGGGGCCGAATCCAGTTGAACGTACATCTTTATTGGAGAAACAATAGCAATTGATCCTTCCCAATTTTACTATTTTACTATTTGTTAACTTCATAATGGAACATACCGGCATATTCGACACCTCACCATAATGTTGTTGGCAGCTTTACTGTATTTCATTCTGTGGATTGTAACTTTTAGAATGAATAAATCAGGTCTACATAAAGTAATAGCAATACGGCCGCTGCACACCTAGAAGATGTTACTTGGTATCCTCTTTTCCTCAATACTTGCCTGCAACAATATTTTGGTTTCTTATACAAAACTTTCTTTCTTACAAACTAAAATGTACTACACTTCCTCTTTTTGTATGTATGTATGCATGTGTGATTGAGAGTAAGGACATACTTTCAACAATTTTCGTTGCAGAAAGATTTCCATAAGATATGACCAATACACATGGGTTCATTGTGAAACAAATTGTAATTCTTTTCTTTAATAACAATCCACTTGTAAACATAAATGTTATTGAGTTCTTAGCAGTTCCAAGAAACCAATTGTTCCGAAATCGAACTAGTCTGAAATTTTAAATAGCAAGTTCAAAGCCAAGACAGCGTCGATACTTAAAGTGCCTGTTGACTTTAAACAAATGAATATACCATATTATTGTCAACAACAAAGTGTTAAATATGGTAGTTTTCCACATGAACTAAATTCTAAATACTTTTTTTTTTACTTTTTAAAATATTTATCAATGTGTATCGATTATATTATTTATGGATAGCTTGTAAAACAAAATAATTGTTATGCTACGAATAGAAGGCATGCACAAATTGAAGAGAAATCTGAACATAAATTTTGTTTTTGCAAATTAAGTTCATAATAACATTGATTATTTTATATGATGTTGGAAATATCGATATTTTTGTTAATGATGTTCATGAATGTAGTTCACCAAATCGTTCTATTAACCCGATTAGATGAACTATTTAACTAAATTCAGCACCTTAGTTGGTGCAGTAAGAAGTCCCACTGTTTTGACAACAAATTTTTGTAAAACATGCCTCCCAGCAAACTTGACAGTCTCTATCGACGAATGCTTATTACAAGATTTTTTGAGAAGGGATGGGGAAAGCCTGAAAACTTACATAGGTAAGTTACGCAATAATAAATATTCTACAAACAATTGCATTGATGAGTTTGTGAAGACACATGTACATATGTAGTGCTATTCCTTTGCGTATATTCATTTATGTAATAATTCGAAATGCTTCTAAAACACATTAACTAATTATCACGCGCACTAAATGCCGGCTCTGCATTCCATGAGAGAAGTATACAACATATTTTTGAGCATGATTCTGTCCACTGCAGACCTTAAATAAAAATTAGAGTTGCAGACGGGCTGTATCGATAAATGTTTGTAAAATCGTTTCGATATTTCAAATGTATGGGTATTCCACGTTTGAACTAGGCTTGGAGAACCAAAGGAAATAATTTCTTGGGTATTAATTATTACACGTAGAGCTAGCCGAATTTTCTGGTCTAATTATCTTGGTAAAATTAATTGATTAGACTTAATTTGTATTTATTATTTTCAGAGTATTTCAGTTTCGAAAAATAATTTCAAGTAGGGAAACATGCTTTAAGCTTGTGCCACGCGACTATCCAGTGGAGATTACAAAAAAAAAAAAATATTCTGATTCGACTTTGATAGAAGGCAATTTTACGACTCCCCTTGAGCTGCACATGCCTGGAGTCGTTCCTGATGCAGCCCAGCAGGCATATTTTCAATTATTATTGCCCAATAAATGGAATAACGAAGAGCATAAGCCAATTTGCATCCATTTAGCAGGAACTGGAGACCATGTGAGTATTAATAACGCAAAGCTAATTAAGGCCCGGAAATTAATTTGTATATGGCGCGTCCCGAATGAATCATTAATCAAATTTTGTTACTCCTTACACTTGGAAACTTTGGTTTCAGTTTTTTTGGCGCCGAAGAAATTTTATTGCTAAGCCATTACTGAAAGATGCAAATATTGGATCTATTATATTGGAAAATCCATTTTATGGATTGCGGAAACCAGATGATCAAATGTAATTGTATAAACGATTTTTAATATATCTATATGGAGACTTATATAATAATTTAAATTGATAAATATGCTTTTAAAAAATGTATTGCTAAGGCCTATTTATGTAACAAAAGGATAATTTATCTGTTTGCAGACGATCGAATTTGCATAACGTGTCAGATATATTTGTTATGGGTGGATGTCTTATACTTGAATGTCTTGTTCTTTTGCACTGGTGCGAAAGAAACGGCTTCGGTCCCCTTGGCATCACCGGATTATCGATGGGAGGTCATGTAAGTAAGCCCCATTAATGATGAACTTATTATCGGTTCGAAAAGTACTGAAAACCCAACGAGAAATAATATTATTTTATTCTTTAGTGACTATAAATATTGTTGATGACCTATAATAATACTTTTATTTTTATAGATGGCATCGCTAGCAGCCACGAACTGGCCAAAACCCTTAGTTCTAGTCCCGTGTTTATCTTGGTCTACTGCATCGGCTGTTTTCACCACTGTATGTAATACAAATATATGTCTTTAAATACTTCTTCTTACTTTCAGCTTTCGATGCTTCTAGCATTAACGGTTGGTTTTATGTTTAAGTTTTAGCGTAATGAATTTTTGCGTGTTAAAATTCATTTAACATCACCCATTTTAGCTGGTGTTGTAACATGCTCTGAAATTAAAATTAGTAAATAGCTATGAATTACAGCCAATGGTAACGGATATAATATTTTATTTTTAATAGGGCGTAATGAGTCAATCCATCAACTGGGATATGCTGGAGACGCAGTATTACTCTGATGGCCAATATAGGGAACGTCTTTCGAAAATGGTTACCATTATAGACGATGCCTTCACGGCTGGTCAAAAGTTTATACAAAATTTTAATCAGTCTCTGCATGAGCTCAAAGAGGATATTGATGATACCAGAAAGATTCAGTCTCTGGAGCGTGATACCGATGGAAATAATAGCAAGACACAAAACCATTCGTTAGACAACGCTGATAGTTCTATATTTTTATCAAAATCACTTGAAAATAGACAACTGGACTCTAACAAAATATCTTTGCCATTGAAAGAAATCCTCAGTGAAAACATTTCTGGCAATTCTGAATTAGCTTTATGCAATTCAGACTCGGCAGAAGGATCGGCATTAACGAAACTAATGAAATTTATTTTACCTATGTCCGCACAAAATAAAAATAAAAAAATTGATATTACAAAGACCAATTGGTGGGAGAGAGAAGCTTTACAATTCATGCGAGGAATGATGGACGAGTGTACACATTTAAAGAACTTTTCAATACCATTTGATACCTCCTTAATAATAGCAGTTTGTGCAAGAGATGATGCATACGTTCCGCGAGATGGATGTTCCAGCCTTGAAGACATATGGCCAGGAGCTGAAGTAAGGTATTTAGATGCTGGCCATGTAAGCGCCTATGTGTTGCACCAAAAATTGTTCAGGTAGATGATTTTCTGATTTGATTGTATATATTAATATAAATTAATAAAACATCATGTTTACAGATCGTGCATTATTGAGGCTTTTGATAGAGCTAAAAAGATCTGTGGAAAAGAGAGCTATAAAGATGTGTCAGCCGCTATGAAATAAACGTGGGAAAAAAAACATAACCATCTTAACCGACTTTTCTTGAAATTAATTCTGGCTTGTTTAGTTTCTCACAGTAAGTACCTAGGTTTAATTCGAAGCAGGTACTCCCAACTGAAATCCGTGATGTGGCACCCGACGATGCTCAAGATAAATTGCCGTAAACATTGACAGAATAAACAGGGTCCGCTCTACTAAAGCTGATGAATAGTTATTTAAATACTTTAATTAACATATTTAAAAATAATACGAACGTATATTTAAAAAAAATAATTGTCGACAGTAAATATTGTGATTATATTTAGTACACTGTTATTCTGAAGTTGCTCTTTTTGGGAACTCCGACAACTTGAAGCGTGGACTTTGAAATGCTCGTTCCAGTTCTAATACTTTGACTTGAATATCCATTGTCATATTTTTAATTTTAAATTATATTTTGTGCAGCGGTTGTAAAATCAAAATTTTAACTATTGCGATACGTCCTTACTTTACTTGCAATCACCAGACGACCAGCGGCTATCAGTTAACATATCGATTTTTATTGTGAATGCCAACCGATATGGAATATCGTTCCAAAATCAACCATTATTTGGACGAGATATTTCATAAAACCTTTTTTGTCCGTTTCATAAAATCTTCGTGTCCGATTTTGGAATTTAATACCATTTTGGACTCGTAAGGATCAGTACTAATGATTGGCATCAAAAAAATTAAATTCTAAGTTTTGACCCAAATCAAGAAAATGGCAAGGGGTTACATCACGTTTTTTCTAAAAATCGGGGTCGGTTCGAAAATCAAAACTTTTTTGATGATTTTCTTTGAATATCTTGGGTAAATATTGCCAGATTTTGAAATGTTATACGTTTTTGAGTTCTTTCGGATCCCTACTATCAATCTGCATTCAAATTTTTTAAAAATCGATGGGTAAAACAAATTGGTTGATCAAAAACCGATTCGTTTGTAAAGTCAACCTTTTTTGATGATTTTTTGGGATATCTCGGCCAAATAGTGTTCGATTTGGGAATTTTATACCATTTTGGACTCGTAAGGATCAGTACTATCGATTGGCATCAAAAAAATAAAAATTTAAATTTGGACCAAAATCATCAAAATGGCAAGGGGTTACATCACGTTTTTTCTCAAATTCAGGGTCGGTTCGAAAATCAAAACTTTTTTGATGATTTTTATTGAATATCTCGGGTAAATGCTGTCCGATTTTGAAACGTTATACCTTTTTAAATTTGTAGGGATCCCTACTATCAATCTGCATTCAAACATTTTAAAAATCGATGGGTTAAAAAAAGTGGGTGCATTTTTTGATGATTTTCTTAGGATATCTCGGCCAAATAATGTCCGATTTGGGAATTTTATACCATTTTGGATTCGTAAGGATCAGTACTATCGATTGGCATCAAAAATATAAAAATCTAATTTTTGACCAAAATCATCAAAATGACAAGGGGTTACATCACGTTTTTTCTCAAATTCAGGGTCGGTTCGAAAATCGAAACTTTTTTGATGATTTTTATTGAATATCTCGGGTAAATGCTGTCCGATTTTGAAATGTTATACCTTTTTAAATTTGTAGGGATCCCTACTATCAATCTGCATTCAAACATTTTAAAAATCGATAGGTTAAAAAAAGTGGTTGACTAAAAACCGATTCGTTTGTAAAGTCAACCTTTTTTGATGATTTTTTTTGAATATCTCGGCCAAATAATATCCGATTTGGGAATTTTATACCATTTTGGATTCGTAAGGATCAGTACTATCGATTGGCATCAAAAAAATAAAAATTTAAATTTTGACCAAAATCATCAAAATGGCAAGGGGTTACATCACGTTTTTTCTCAAATTCAGGGTCGGTTCGAAAATCGAAACTTTTTTGATGGTTTTTATTGAATATCTCGGGTAAATGCTGTCCGATTTGGAAATGTTATACCTTTTTGAATTCGTAGGGATCCCTACTATCAATCATTCAAACATTTTAAAAATCGATGGGTTAAAAAAAGTGGTTGACTAAAAACTGATTCGTTTGTAAAGTCAACCTTTTTTGATGATTTTTTTGAATATCTCGATTGGCATCAAAAAATAAAAAAATCTAATTTTTAACCAAAATCATCAAAATGGCAAGGGGTTACATCACGTTTTTTCTCAAATTCGGGGTCGGTTCGAAAATCGAAACGTTTTTGATGATTTTTATTGAATATCTCGGGTAAATGCTGTCCGATTTTGAAATGTTATACCTTTTTAAATTTGTAGGGATCCCTACTATCAATCTGCATTCAAACATTTTAAAAATCGATGGGTTAAAAAAAGTGGTTGACTAAAAACCGATTCGTTTGTAAAGTCAACCTTTTTTGATGATTTTTTTGAATATCTCGGCCAAATAATGTCCGATTTGGGAATTTTATACCATATTGGACTCGTAAGGATCAGTACTATCGATTGGCATCAAAAAAGAAAAAAAATCTAATTTTTAACCAAAATCATCAAAATGGCAAGGGGCATCAAAAAAATAAAAATTTAAATTTGGACCAAAATCATCAAAATGGCAAGGGGTTACATCACGTTTTTTCTCAAATTCAGGGTCGGTTCGAAAATCGAAACTTTTTTGATGATTTTTATTGAATATCTCGGGTAAATGCTGTCCGATTTTGAAACGTTATACCTTTTTAAATTTGTAGGGATCCCTACTATCAATCTGCATTCAAACATTTTAAAAATCGATGGGTTAAAAAAAGTGGGTGCATTTTTTGATGATTTTCTTAGGATATCTCGGCCAAATAATGTCCGATTTGGGAATTTTATACCATTTTGGATTCGTAAGGATCAGTACTATCGATTGGCATCAAAAATATAAAAATCTAATTTTTGACCAAAATCATCAAAATGACAAGGGGTTACATCACGTTTTTTCTCAAATTCAGGGTCGGTTCGAAAATCGAAACTTTTTTGATGATTTTTATTGAATATCTCGGGTAAATGCTGTCCGATTTTGAAATGTTATACCTTTTTAAAATTTGTAGGGATCCCTACTATCAATCTGCATTCAAACATTTTAAAAATCGATGGGTTAACAAAAGGGGTTGACTAAAAACCGATTCGTTTGTAAAGTCAACCTTTTTTGATGATTTTTTTTGAATATCTCGGCCAAATAATATCCGATTTGGGAATTTTATACCATTTTGGATTCGTAAGGATCAGTACTATCGATTGGCATCAAAAAAATAAAAATCTAATTTTTGACCAAAATCATCAAAATGGCAAGGGGTTACATCACGTTTTTTCTCAAATTCAGGGTCGGTTCGAAAATCGAAACTTTTTTGATGATTTTTATTGAATATCTCGGGTAAATGCTGTCCGATTTTGAAATGTTATACCTTTTTGAATTCGTAGGGATCCCTACTATCAATCATTCAAACATTTTAAAAATCGATGGGTTAAAAAAAGTGGTTGACTAAAAACCGATTCGTTTGTAAAGTCAACCTTTTTTGATGATTTTTTTTGAATATCTCGGCCAAATAATGTCCGATTTGGGAATTTTATACCATTTTGAACTCGTAAGGATCAGTACTATTGATTGGCATCAAAAAAATAAAAAAAATCTAATTTTTAACCAAAATCATCAAAATTGCAAGGGGTTACATCACATTTTTTCTAAAATTCGGGGTCGGTTCGAAAATCGAAACTTTTTTGATGATTTTTATTGAATTTCTCGGGTAAATGCTGTCCGATTTTGAAATGTTATACCTTTTTAAATTTGTAGGGATCCCTACTATCAATCTGCATTCAAACATTTTAAAAATCGATGGGTTAAAAAAAGTGGTTGACTAAAAACTGATTCGTTTGTAAAGTCAACCTTTTTTGATGATTTTTTTGAATATCTCGGCCAAATAATGTCCGATTTGGGAATTTTATACCATTTTGGACTCGTAAGGATCAGTACTATCGATTGGCATCAAAAAATAAAAAATCTAATTTTTAACCAAAATCATCAAAATGGCAAGGGGTTACATCACGTTTTTTCTGAAATTCGGGGTCGGTTCGAAAATCGAAACGTTTTTGATGATTTTTATTGAATATCTCGGGTAAATGCTGTCCTATTTTGAAATGTTATACCTTCTTAAATTTGTAGGGATCCCTACTATCAATCTGCATTCAAACATTTTAAAAATCGATGGGTTAAAAAAAGTGGTTGACTAAAAACCGATTCGTTTGTAAAGTCAACCTTCTTTGATAATTTTTTTGAATATCTCGGCCAAATAATGTCCGATTTGGGAATTTTATACCATTTTGGATTCGTAAGGATCAGTACTATCGATTGGCATCAAAAAAATAAAAATCTAATTTTTGACCAAAATCATCAAAATGGCAAGGGGTTACATCACGTTTTTTCTCAAATTCAGGGTCGGTTCGAAAATCGAAACTTTTTTGATGATTTTTATTGAATATCTCGGGTAAATGCTGTCCGATTTTGAAATGTTATACCTTTTTGAATTCGTAGGGATCCCTACTATCAATCATTCAAACATTTTAAAAATCGATGGGTTAAAAAAAGTGGTTGACTAAAAACCGATTCGTTTGTAAAGTCAACCTTTTTTGATGATTTTTTTTGAATATCTCGGCCAAATAATGTCCGATTTGGGAATTTTATACCATTTTGAACTCGTAAGGATCAGTACTATTGATTGGCATCAAAAAAATAAAAAAAATCTAATTTTTAACCAAAATCATCAAAATTGCAAGGGGTTACATCACATTTTTTCTAAAATTCGGGGTCGGTTCGAAAATCGAAACTTTTTTGATGATTTTTATTGAATTTCTCGGGTAAATGCTGTGTTTTGAAATGTTATACCTTTTTAAATTTGTAGGGATCCCTACTATCAATCTGCATTCAAACATTTTAAAAATCGATGGGTTAAAAAAAGTGGTTGACTAAAAACTGATTCGTTTGTAAAGTCAACCTTTTTTGATGATTTTTTTGAATATCTCGGCCAAATAATGTCCGATTTGGGAATTT